CATTCCCTCTCGGACAGCTCGGGAACCCCCTTTTCCGCCGCCTTTTCGGGGGTTCTGAGGGGGTCCGTGAGGGGGGGGGCCCCTGTGTACTCTCGGGCCTTTCCGCGTCCCGAAGCGCCTGCGCGACCGCCTGGCGTGTGGTGGCGTTAGCGAACCACCGATCCTCCTCCGGAGTGCGGGAGGCTGCCGCCGCGTGGAAAGCCCGTATGGTGTGTGAATCGGAGGCGAAAATTGGATAGAGCTCGTTGGGATCATGATAGAATTCCACCCCACACACCACCTGCTGGTCTAAAAGGCGAGTAATCGCAACGTCCACGTCCCTAACCTTAGCCGGCCACCAGCACCCATCATCACACTTGACCCATATTAGCGTCCCAGGGGGATATTGCATAAATATGGCTTGCCCGATCCCTTCCTTTATGTCTTTCAATTGATTCAGGAAACTGACCGGTGTGGGGAATCTTAGGCAAAAAAGGCAAATAAGAAGTAGTATGGGTTCAACACCATTTTAACGTTTTCAACACACGGATTATCCCTACCCAGTTCATAACGCGTCTTGTTCACATTCACAAATCTATTAATCAGAAAGCACCTTGAAAGTATCTAGCATAAGAGGATATAATCGATGTCGAAAATTTGGATCTAGGACGTGAGAAAGCGTATTTAGATAAGATTTTTTTTATTAGCGCTGGGTAAGTAAACTTTTTTTATAACAACACTGACTAGGACCAAGAAACTCAAACCCCAGCTCTCTTTTGTAGAACTGTTCTTCCTCATGTGTAAAGGTATCAGCACGCCAATCACCACTCGCGTTTCGGACTGCCGAGATAGATTTCAAGGCCTTGGGGAAATGGGCGAAAATCACACTCAGCGGAAGCTCCTCTGTGTTTTGGCTGAAGATTAGGTCTGGATCGACGGTCTGTTGCGCCGCCACCCTCTTCACCGTAAGCGGAACCACCTTAGACCGGCTATTGCTCTTCAACATGTTATTCGTAGGGACGCCGGCAGGCCACTCGACCTTGGCGGATTTCTGCAGCGGCGGCGTTGGTAAAGATGCGGATTTTGGCGCCAAAGGCATATTCACGAGGTCCACAATGGGTATTTGTGAATGAATCTTCTGCGGATCCACGGCCGGCTTGGGGGTCGGGGTCCGACTGCCCATCAGGGGCTTGCTTGGCGTCATATTGTAGTGCTTGCCCGCGGCGGTGTTGACATTATGCTGAGACAACGCCGTAGCGGGCCCATTACGCACGTAGCTGAACAACATTTTGGTGGCCTGATGGTACTGCTCTAAGAAATTTTCATTGGAATATTTCGGTGGCGGCGGCAGCAACTGCGATATATCCTCATTTTTGATGAATTGGCGAAACAACAGCTCCTCCACAATTTGAGGTGACCAAACTGCCTCTTCCATTTTTAAACTCCTCTATTAAAGTAGAAAAAAAAAGTATGTTTCCTTTTCGGGAAAATGTGCTTACTTTAAGAAGTATATATACCTAAAGATGGTTGAAATTTAGTAATTTAATCATTTTTAGGATATGAATGCGTATTCCAATATATCAAATTTTAGAAGCTATACGTACTGATCATTATGGTATTAGTTATTCTTTTTTTTCAGTATTTTTTAATCAGTATATTTTAGAAACACCAAATTCACGTATTTAATTAAGCCATTTTATATACACGCAAATTAAACTAGAAATCTTTCTCCAATGTTTGTTCGGAAACACATTAATCAGCCCGAAAGATACGTTCAGTGGGTTGCATACGGTCTTAAATGGCCTAAAAGATGCCTGTTGTCTTTCCGACATATAGCATCTTTAATTTCTTTTGAACGAATCTATACTTTAGCAATTTTTATGGGAAGGACACATATGGAAAACAAAAAACAAAAAGCATCATTTTTTATACATTGCCGGGTAGTGAAAGTGAAAACTGCAGTGCCAAGGAACAAATGGTTAAATCAGCATTTGGAACCTCTTGCACGAAACGTAATGATAAAAAACATATGAGAGGTACTATCTTGAGCAGGATAAATAATAGAGGGATATACAACATATTCAAAATTAAAAAAATGATAATAGTTTGACACCAACACCAATTGTCAATATTTTGCTCTGATATTGGTGGATCACCTTTCAGATAACATAAATACAAAAATGCATAGCATTTTTAAGCACAAATATTATAGATCTGAAAGTTCTGAGGTCAAAAAATAGCGTTGAGAAGAAATGACGGCCAACTTCTTCTACATAACTACTACACGAAATGTGTTTTTATATTTTAATTGGAAACATATTATGCTCTTCACTTGCCATTATTAAGGAGGCAAAAATAGTAGTGCAGGAATGTTAGAAGTAGCAACAAGATAATATCTACAATTTTACCTTTTTCTTCATTTAATATCACTATTATGTATGATTTGTATAGAATACATATGAATTAATAAGATGAAAATTAAGTGTACACATCATTAATTGACATGTTGAGTGCAAATAAAGCAGATTGAGTAGCATAGAAAAGACTAGGAAAAAAAAGTGAGGCTCATAGTTAAACTTAGAGCAACACTTTTCTTGAAATACAAAATACCTCCAATCCGAAAATACCATCACTTTTCATTGCACTTTTTTATCACTACATAGTCTTCATAAGGTAAATAAGATATCGAAGAATAACAATCGTGCATAGGCTACCCGTGTTGTTTTCCGTTATTCTTTGAATGGTATTTTTTTTTAACTGTTACATAAAAAACAATGCTGATTCTAAAATAATTTAACACCTTTTAAGAAAGCGCTGAAATTTATCCAACGCATAAATTTATATGTGGCTTATGAAATGAAACCTAAAGCAACAACAGTTTGGGTGAAGCACTGCACACTCCCCTCCCCTACACTTTAGGATTAATACGGTTTCCATATATTAGCTATGTATGTTTTACCGGAGCTTTAGGGTGTATTAAAGAAGGCATCCCACACCATGAATAATTATAATCGAAATTTTCCGAATTCATATTCATGACACTTAATAAAAGGGAAACATACAACTTGTAGTGTGGCTCTTCATTGAACCCAAGACTCCGTACCTGGTTAACAAGTTCGGCAAATTGGACTGGGTACCCGCTTGCAAGTTTGGATCCCGTGTTCTGCGCCTTCGAAACACCTATTGTTTTATAATTTGTGTCGCTACATTTCACACCCTGCCAAGGCAAGTTACCGCGGAGGAGATACATAATCAAATAAGCGGCCGACTCCACATCATCACGTCGAGACTGCTCTAAGCCGTTATGTGTATGAATGCTGACGTATCGCGCCGTCCCTGTAAGCGCCTTACCCTGAACAAAATTTAGGTGTTTTCCAGAAGGAGTCCGCCAATACTTTGAAAGGCCCATGTCGATGACGTACAGAATATGCGAACGGGGACCTAATCCCATAACAAAGTTGTCGGGCTTGATATCACGATATATGAGACCAATCTTGTGGATGTACTCCAACCGCTGGAAAATTTGGACGCCAAGCATGCAAACCGTCTTTAAGTTGAACGAGGAATTGCAATATGAAAAAAGATCCTCCAAGCTAGGACCTAACAGATCAATTACTAGTATCGCATAATTCTCTAAAACCCCATAGTAGTAAATATTGGGAATCCCCACTGTGACGTTGGAAATATTTAAACGTCTATATATATCCTTCTCCAAATACAAATGGCAGATATCGGAACTTTTCAAACGCTCAATTTTAATAGCAACGTTTGCATTTGTGTTCAAATCTCTTCCTCTGTATACATCTCCGAAAGAACCTTTTCCGATACGACACTGAACAAGAAACCGATCCTTTATAACAAAACTTGGTGAAGATTTTACTTTTGTCTGGGGTACCGTTTTTTTGAAAAGGGGCATTGGTTTTCTTTTTGTTTTTTACTACGTAAAAAAAAGAGTAATTTTTTTGAAAACCAACGATAAAAGATCTATAATTAAACCACTATGCAGATTGTTAAGGGAGAAAGCAACTCTAAAATGAATAAACAACACATTCTTTTAAATCTCTTATTAGAAGGAAAAAATCATAGCAATCTTTTTTTCATGTATAAAAAACGAAAACGAAATGTTTTGCAATAACATCAAAGTCTATATTATATCTTTTATAATTGCCTTCGCATATTCTGAGACTCCTCATCCCTTCCTCTCTTTGTCAGAATCACTCTAAAACATATAGTAAAAATCAATGAAGATAATAGTAATAAAATTGAGAAAGCACACTAAAAAAAACTAGAATTGAGTCACTACAAAGGATATAGATTACCCTGCCCCTTCTCCTTTTCATGAAGACTGTTCTTTGAAGTTGAGCATACCATAATTTTCGTTGTTGGATGGCATCCTTCCCTCCCCCCCCCCCCTCTGTTGGCGATGATCGTAATCAGCTCCGCTGTGTACGATTGCGCTCTGCGCTATAAATGGCTGGAGGGGGGCATTAAAGAGAAACCCGTAATCCAAGGCCTAACGGGTGGGGCGCTCTGCATCGGACCGATCGATCATCCCCCTCGCCTCAAAACGACGCGTGGGGAAAAAAGGCCGCACCCACTTCGCTCCGGGCCTCAACCCGCCGAATTACATCGCAATAGCCCGATGAGACATCCAGGGCTAACACAAAATGACCTGAATGATTGTAAGAAGCAGCAAAATCGACGTTTAACGGGAATCCCAATAGGTCATAGGGGCCATGCCAAACCGGTTTCGAATCCTTTGAAGTGAAACGTCAGACCCCCTTGATCGCCTTTTAGGGAATAATGGGGGAATCCCAAGGCTTAACATCATAGACTACGGGATGGAATCCCAAAGACTATTCACCCATGATCGGGAGTCGCAGGTTGACATGTAGCGAAGATCCCGCCCCAAGGTAGCCATACAAGGGGCTCGAGGTAACGGCTCGTATGAGCTTGTACTCTAAAACAAAGCGATGAACTTTATACCGCTCTTTTTCGTCGTGTGCAAAGTCATAGCTCCAGCCAATATTTTTATCGCAGAAAGTGCAAAAAACATCGCGAACAATATGCGTGCCGGTTATTAGCTCTTTTTGCTCGGGAGGTCCTGCGTAATAATTTTCACAACGATCCACAAGATATGCTTTGCCATGTTTTCCGTGAAAATGGCGAGATAGAACGTCCGAATCCAAGCATAGATGTGTGCTGCAAAACGCGCAGCCGTAACCCGTGTCGTTGGCTTCGCCCAGTATACGTGATCGATATCGCCTTACCATTTCAGATGCCACTTTACTAAAGTAAATAGCTTTTGGAAATTTAATTCTAATAAACACAAGTGTAATATATATTTAGAACCCATGTATAGCCGGAAAAATCATATTTATATTGGTTTAAGATAACTCGGGTTATATATATATATATATATTACATATATAATCATAAATACCAGCATATGTAAAGAAATATGTTTAGGAGGCTAGAATATATATGGTTCCCCCGCGAAGCCTACTACCGTCTGGAGGGTACTTATGCTGGTGGTATGGAAGGATCAAAAAACACACCCCATTTTGACTCAATAAAACTCTATGAACGAATAATAGGGCAAAGGTCACCTAAAATCATCCTGAGTCCTTCAATAACACACATATTGCTTTCACAAGTCACCGTGTGAATCTAATAACACAAAATATGCTCTTCTTAACCCACAATATGTCTATTGCCATCAGAAATTCCATGAAGAATAGTCCAAAAGGGAGAATCCAAGTATACCGTTTTCATCTCGTTACACTTCTGTATTCCTTTCATGAACATAATATAGAAACAGAGCACATGTAATTAAAGATAAATTTAGAAGTGAGGTAATTATATCACTATATTAAACCATCCTTTTTCAGAATTCCAGAAGCCATCTAAAAGAGTTGGTGAATGTTTTCAACTTGTTTATCCCACTCTTACACACATTTAGATCGCTTATGAGTACATAAACATTGAATTTCTAGTGTTATTTACTTTTTACAATGTACAAGATTGTCGTTAATTCCCATATTGTCTAATCAACATGTGCGCACTATATTTTAAGAAAGTCGATTGACCAGCGCAGTGACTCTCCCTTGTCTTGGAAACGAATCCATACTATGCAAAAAGACGAGAACACATTTGGACAGGAACCCGATTCTTCACCGAGATGGGCTTCCCATTAATCTCTACAGCGTCTAAGAACGGGTAATAGTGAACCATTGACGTCGAGAATTCGTCTATCTGCAAGAACGGAATTGCTGAGACTTCATGCAAAATCGTCATATGCTGACTAGCTGCCGGAAATGAAATGACATCGCCAATTTTCACACATGAGTTATTTACTTCGTACAGTAGGACTGTAAAGAGATCAGACTCTTGATTCACAGTCAAAATCACTAAAGGCTGCATTGTGGGTTCACTCAACGCCTCAACTACCGCCATGTCTATCCAGGCTGACTCCAAGGTGACTTTCTGAGTGGCGCGGCGTTTCACGGTTTCCGAGATACTCGCGAGGAACTTTTTAAGATCACGCTTCATCATGGTCCTCAAAATTTTACCCCGGTTGATTGCCTTTCGCAGAAGATCAATGTTCTGCTCGCACAAACTTTTGGCACCCTTCAGGCGATGGCCGTCCAGCTCATGGGCACGAAAGGCCTCCATTGCGGCCTCCCCAAAGTGGCCTAACAAACTCTCAAGAACCCCTTTGTTGTAGTGCAGATCGGGATCATCCTGAACGCGTTTAAGCGCCTGTTGAATGGCAGCCAAGGCCTTTCGTATGGCGTCATAACCAATTCGCCCAGCCGCCGCCTTGGAGAGCAGCGAAAGGGAAAGAGAATTCCAGGCATCAGGGTCCTCAACGTTGGTCTGGACCGCTTTGTGGGATTTAGACACCGCGTCGGAGAGGAAGATCAGCCTTTGGGCCTCCGTTAAGCCCTTTTCGCTGCACCGGTTGCGCTGGATTTGGCTGTACCGGCATAGCACGGCGGTGTTGCCGGGATCCATCAGCAAGGCGTTATCCAACGCATCGCAAGCCTCCTTAAAGGCATTGCGGCGCAAATAACACTCGCTGAGGTCCAACCACGTCATTGGGCACTGCCTGAGTTTCAGGGCCGTTTGAATATCCCGCTCAGCCTCCTTCGAAACGCAAGGAAGAAGCAGCCGGGCTCGGCTGCGGAGCAGAAGTATCCGAACTTTGGTGTCCGTGTCCCTCTCGCCGTCGAGAGAGGGCAACGCTCGTAGAATGCGCTCCGATCCGCTCTTCACATCGTCATCGAATACCTTTACTTTCTCTAGTGCTTCAAGTTCCTTGTCGAATACGTCCAAGGATGCTGATGCTTCGACTGTCATTATTTAAACTTTGAAGTGAATGTAGAAAATAAACCAAAGAAACAAGGTATCACTTTTGTAAATACAAACTCAGAAGACACAATCTATTCAGATGATTTGCACTCATACACAGACACACAGTATAAATAAATAAATATATGTATATATATATATATATAATAAGGTTCCCCTTTCTTAATATACTCAAAGCGTAGTAGTATACCGCAGGACGATGCCCATTTCCTCCCCGTCGACCACCACTATCGTTTTTCGGCAGCTATTCGCGACTCGGCCCAGCATCACCAACGCTGCGGCGCGTAAATCCGACCGCGCGAGCGACCAGCAGAGCGCGATCCCGTGGGAGTCGTCCGGGTGGGGGGTGACGTAAAGATGAAAATGGCAGCCGTAGGTCCCCTCCACCAAAGACCCCCCCAACACCGAACGGCATAACGCGCGGCCCGACGCCGCCCCATCACGGTAGCGCAAGCCGAGCAAAAACGCCGACGCCGCCTCAGCCGCGCCCTCGCCCGCTAAAAAAAGAGATCGCGCATGGCGAGATGGAATTGCCGCATCACCTCTTGGCCGCTTAAATAATTGTTTAATGGAAGCTATTGAAAATATCGCACCCATAAAAGGGGGGTTGTAAACAAGGACGGCTTAGGGCGACCTTGTTTTAACTTAGTAATGTCGCTAGAGAAAGGATTAAATTGGTAGATAAACCATTAAACCAAATAAGGAGATTATGAAAGGAAAAAAAAAAGTAAGAAGCTGCTTTTTTTTTTGAATTAGTCGGACAGACTAAGATTACTGATAATCTATTTTTCTATTATCTCTATTTCTCATGGTCCGTGCACACACGCACAGCGTTAAGAGATGATCATAGAATTGGCGAGCTGTTTACTAGAAGTCATCGGACTCATGCTTTCCTTCCTTTTGAATCGCCAAAGTTTGAGATCGGTACATGTAAGCCACCTGATGCGCAGAAGTGCTATCCATAGGTTTTTTGTCCTCTCGCACGCGTATATAGCGTGGAAACCTCAAGGCGACACCACGATTGGGGTCAATTAAACCGATGGCCGCACAATGCGCGGGTGAAATAGACAAGTCGGCCGCCTTCACCTCCCATACCTGCGACTCCCGAAGCCAAACATCCACGTCAAGGGTATTAGCGCGGTAATAGCCCGGCTTCTCCTGAAGTACCGCAGACTGAAGCGACTGCGTGAGAGTCTCGAGCTCCGCGTCCTGGAAGCCGGTGCCGACCTTGCAAATGCTTTGATATTCGTCGGACTCCCCATCGTAGCAGGCGAGAAGAAACCCTCCGTAGACCCCAGTGCGTCTTCCCTTACCGTAATAGGCCGCAATGGGGACGAGATCGAGCGTGTCGGTGACGCCGTCCATGTAGTCCTTTTTTAACTTCAGCCAGGAGTAAGACCGCCTGGCCGGGATGTAGGCTGCATCATCTAGAAGAGTCTTAATCATGAGGCCTTCACAGCCGTCCGTGATGGACTTCTCGAGAAACTTTTGGATATCTTCCACGTTGTCGCTGTCTAGGTATTCGGCGAAACTCATCTTTCGCTCGATGGGGTTGAAATTTTGCCACAAAACGGCTCTTCGCTCCTGCAGCGTCTTGTGAAGTTGGGATTCCCCATTAAAATAGAGAATGTCAAACGCAAAGACACACACAGGGATCTTGACATCTTTCTCCACTATATTTTTACGCCCTCGGTGCTGCAACACCTGGAAAGCTTGTAGGGCCCCGGTCTCCGGACTCACAGCCACGATCTCAGAATCGATGATAAAAGATTCCACCTGGGACGCAAAAAACGTGGCGGAAAACATGGAAATGACATCCGGATACTTTCCCGTGTGGTTCTCGGAGTTGCGGGAGAATATTTGGTAGCCGTTTTCCCTCTGAAAGTGAATTTGGGCACGCTCGCCGTCATATTTGTACTCCGTAGTGAAAGACTTCCCCTGGAGACGGTCTAAAATAACGCTGATGCCGGCGGTTGGGTGCGCCAACTGCGGCTTCACAGGTAATCCCGGGCGAATCGATAACTCCTTGGCGTGCGTGGAAGCCACATCTGTCCCGGGAAGAAGTAGCATAAAGCCGTGCCGCAGCACCACCGCCACGACAACATCTAAGCTGGGAACCTCGAAGAAAAACCGGCAGAAGCTGGCTGAACTCGCATGAAGAACCGCCTGCAGTTCCTCAGGTCGCATAAGTTCCGACTGCGGACCTAAAAAGTTTAGCGCAAAGGCGTAGCCAACAGCCGTCAAGGCCGACAACTCGGCCAACCCTATGCGCATCTTCTGCTGCAGTGACCGTACGATCAAATTGACCTCGGGGCCTTGCGCATTTCGGAGCAGACGCTTAATAATGTCCGCCCGTCGCCGCACCATGTCCTTTCCACTCATAAACGCAATTTCTCGGAAAGCGTTGAAGACGTCGCGCGCCGAAAGAGGTGTTGGGGTCATGAGGGTTGCCTGCTTCTGTTTGTGATCCTGGGCGACCTCGGCCAGGTCCCCGGTGCGCTTGTATTCCTCCCTGGTTCTTGCCTCTGTCATCCCACAGCACTCCGCGACCACTTTCACCAGAACCGCATCCCCGATCCCCAGCTCGACGCCCTCATGCTGCGGGGCCTGTTTGTTTATAATTAAATAAATCACCGCGGCCAGGTCGCCCGGGCAGCGCGCGAGGACAGCCTGAAAAAGCCGCGTGAGCAGCCGCACACACTCGAGCCGGGAGCTCATGCTGCTGATATCCACCAGGATGTCCACCACAACGGCATAGGGCACCGACGCCGCGGGCCTGGAAGCGCCTTTTTCGTCCGACAAACGCGGCCACAACGCGAGCATCCCCTCCAACGGATGAAAGGGCTCGGCCTGAAATAGCTTGGCCATGTTCACGGCGCCGGGCTTCTCCGCCGCATCCAAAAAGCACTGAATCTCCTCCCGATGTGGTTCGAAATCGGGATCCGAGCCCCCAGGGCCTGTCTGCAGACCCCCTTTCTCAGCCCCCTCGGTTGGATCCCTGCAGGGAGCTTTGGAGGCCGCCTCAACCGCAACGCCCTCTCTTTCTCGCTTACGCACAAGAAAGGAGGTGAGTGAACTCTGGTGCATTCAATACCAGAACGCGCTATGCAGTCGTTTATACACCCTCCTAAATATATAGTTTTATGACGTCCTCCAATACAAACTTAGAAGGAAGAGAACACTTGAGACGGTGTCGAGCCCACCATTGCGTGAGAAACGGGGGAGGGAGGGATTACTGAAATAAATGCGAACAACTACTTTGGGAGGGTTTAGTTTTTTTATTATTATTATGAAAATAACACTAAAAAAAATTAAAACAAAACAACAGTTTGGACTCAGAAAAAAACTCAACTTTAAATTCGAAAAGCCAATATAACCCAAACTGTAAATTATACCTGCCAAATCAATAAAGGAGATATTGGGAATAGAAAACGAAAGATTTAACTAAGCAAATAAGAGACACTAACAAAAAAAAAAGATCTGTTGTAGTAAGTTCGTTCCAGTAGACTTATATATATATATATAAAAGGATTTGTTACTCTTCAATAGAGACAACAAATCGAACAAATATCCTCATGTTAATCTACAAAAAAAAAAAGAACCTCAACTAATAAAAACAATTCTATTGAGCCTAATTTAATATCCTGAAGTAAAATATTTAGTAGTAGTCCCTATCATGTTAATCCTCTTTTTAAAATGGATTAAAAATAATATCATTCAAAAGTACTCGAAAATTTCGCTTTACTTGAAGGATATAAAATCATGCCTATATAAAAAACTAACCGAACATGATTTAAAGAAATTTCACAAAAACAGAAAGTTCGAGGCCCACTAAACAATAGAACGCTTCCAGGGTACCCCTTTTGCGTGTGTAATGCAATCTATCAACTTTTTAATGAAAAGATGAATAAATGGCAAATAGGTCTGGCAGGACTTATCACTGCACTCAACAAAAGTGCACTTTTTTTGTTTCTACAAAGAAACTCGATACGTTGTATCAAATCAAACTTTATCCCATCCCTATCAACATATCCCATCATTTTTAGTGTTTCATACATAAAGAATACAGATGTGTTGCATGTGTGATTAAATAAAAGGATCTGCGATAAAATATAATGTGAATTTTAAAAAATTAGCGATACCATTAACAGTGAAAGAAGAGCACGCTGAAGAAATCATATAAAAGAAAAAAAAGTAAAAATACACACATTTCACATTCCCATGAATGTTATCGGCTCGTTGAATGTATTTTCTCCCCTCCCAATTTTCCTTTGCCTGCCCT